ACCTGGTTCCTCATGATGAGCCCCTCGAGGGCATTTCTGCCAAAGCCTCAGCGGCCTGGCCCTGTCAGGGGGGCTTCCCAGAAGGTCCGTGGCATTCAAGGAAGTCCTTGAGTCCGCGCTGAGTGCCTGCTGTGGGCAAGAGCAAGGAAGCCGGAGAAGCGGGCCCTGAGGTCGCACAGGGACTCGGAACAGAGCGAGAAAGAAGAACGCAGTGAAGAATTTCCCAGCCGTGTCTTGTCATAAGGACCACCTGTCTAGGGGGTGGGGCGGCAGCGTGAGATATAGCTTCCCAGCGCCCTGCCCACGTACAGATCAGCCGAGGCCACCGGGATTCAGATTCTGTAGACCAGGGACAGGGCCTGGAATCCGTATGTGGAACAAATGCCACAGTAGGTCCGACGATCAGGCAAGTGTGGGAAACAGGAAGGCGGGGCAGAGTCGGAACCTGGCTCCAGTTCAGACGTGGCCTCGGCCGTGTTTGCTGGGTCGCCTTCGAAAGTGCACTCCTCTGAGCCTCGGATCCCCCAACCATAACGTAATACCCACTTCGGAGTGTTTCTGGGAGGGCAGGACCCAGAAAACGTGCTCTGTGCTGTGCCTGGTGCATTTTAAGTGCACAATAAAGGTGAGGGATAAACACGTCACTCACACTTTCCGACTCTGCCATCAGCCAGCCCCTTCCAAGCCCTCAGGACAGTCTGGGCCATGGCATTAATGTGACCAGACAGGGGCCTTGAAGTGGACCCTAATTTCAGGGTCAGGTTGGAGGCAGATAAGTACTTTAAACTGAAAACTCTTTGGTGATGGTGACCATAGTCCAGCAGAAAGGAAGGACAGAGAGGCAAAGGTGGGCCTGGAAGGAGCCCCAGAGGCAGAAACCCAGGCAGGGGAGATCCTGGGATGTGGTCAAGGATGCACAGACTTCAAAAAAACCGGAAACGTAGTCAAGCACACTCGTGATACCCAAGGAGAGACACCATTTGCTGAGAAGAAACTTTTGTTTCCTTTTAGCCCCAAACCTGATATATATATTTTTAATTTTTTTAATGGATTTTAGAGAGAGAGGAAGGCGGAGTGGAGAGAGAAACACCACTTTGTTGTTCCACTTATCGAGGCATTCATTGGATGATTCTTGTGTGTGTGCATCGTAGGGATCTAACCGGCAACCTCGGCGTTTTGGGATGACGCTCTAGCCAACTGAGCGACCTGGCCAGGGCCCAAACCAATGTTGAAAACGTTCTCAGTTCATCTTCCTCTGCCTCACTTAGTTAGCAAACTTTATTATTCTACTAGCTTCCACGTCCTGTGCTTCCAGCAGACGTTACAGAGATTGCAGTAGCTGTGCCCGCAGCGCGGGGAGCCCTCTGTGCGTCCCTGACACAGGCAATAAGCAGTCACAGCGTGGCGGTCGGAGCAGTCCCAGGGCTGCTGGCAGGGAACCGCGGACTTGCCTGAGGAGACAGGAAACCTTCCAGGGGCAATCCCGCCCCCAGCTTTACTGAAATGGAGCTGACATAAAACGTTCTGTGTACAATGACTTGACATACGTACAACTGCAAAACGATTACCACAGCCAGAGGACGTCTCCAAACAGAGATTGCTTGCCAGCTGACATGTCGCCCTCATACGCCTCAGCCAACAGTGATAACAATAGCTGGCTGTCACCAGTGCTTACTTGGTGGCAGAGGTCACGTGAGGCCATTGACCTTAGCTCCCATCCTCATGTAAGAGAGTTGCCCCGTGTGGTGCCTTGCACGCTTCCCTGGGCTTGCACCCCATTTGGGGGCTCTGAACGGCCTTGCTGCGCAGGCGGGCGGGCACGACGCCAGCCAGAAGCGGGGTCCTCCCACCCTGCAGCAGGAGATTCCCTCACTCCCAGGAGCCGCAGCTGACTGCGCCCCGGGCTGAATCTCTGACCCTGGGGGATTTTCACCCCCTACCCCACGGACGCCCCTTCCCCAGAGTCCCGCTGCCCACGTGTGGCCTACACGAGTCGCGGGGGTCACGCGAGACTTAGGACAGCATCCTGTCCTTATGTGTGCAGAGTCCTAAGTGCACAACGTCTAGTGTGAAAACACTGTCAAATGCTCTGTGGGAAAAGACGTGCCAAATTCTGACACCATGTCAGGGTGGTGGCTAGCCATAATAACCGTGACAATAAATAATAACAATGATAAGACTCTCTAACATTCACTAAGCGCTTATTATTTTGTATTGGGAGTTATCCTGCATGTACTCACTGATTTAAACCTCACATGTAGATACTGTTGCGGTCCCCACACCAAGGTCCAGGTACCTGCTATCGTCGGGAAGTGGAGTACAAAGTGGGACATACATAAGAGAGGTTAGGTTGCAGTGAATTCCACTCTTGGATCACTGTTCTCGGGCAGGTCCAACATGAAGAGCTCCGCTCAGGGCACAGCAAAGCAGCTGTTCTCCTGTTTGCAGGATGACAGGACCACCCCCAGTGCCCAGTGTGCCCCTGACTTCTCCCCCTGTCCACACATCCCAGACCAGCGGCACTCAGGCGCTCCCGACAGATCAGAGCTCCTCCCATCCTGAGGCTGCCTTACCTTTGTGCAGCGACTCCCTTGGCCCCAACTCCCCTTTCTCGCCCTCGTCATTGCCTGTTTAGCTCAAGTTCAGCGCCCGTCTCTAGGAGTCACCCTCCCAGGAAGCTTGTCCAGACTTGGGAAGGGCCGCCGCGCGGCCACTCCTTCCTTGAAAGACCCCTGTGCAGAAGCTGGGCTCACTGAGGCCAGGGCCCGGGGCTACCTCATTTTGTAATGCTGGCGTTTAAAACCCCTCTACAGATCTAAGGGAGTCGTGACTCCCTGCTTATTGTCACCCGTGACTTGTTTTTCCCTCACTGTCACTGCTCAGCATCTCTAGACATTGAGGACAGCTCTGACACTAATGAGAACTGACAACTGAGCATGACGCCTCCACTGCTAAGATGGCACAATTGTGTTTATTGTGCTTCACTTTGGTAACCAGTGCCCTCTCGGCACCAGCCTAAGTCTGTGGTCCTCCCCGGGAAGCCATCTGGTCCTTTTATGTCTTGATTCATCGCATACTGGGGAGGGTGTTAGCTGAGTGAGAATTTTTGCTTCGTGAAAATGTTACCAAATACTGACACCAGGAAGGGGAAAGCACCAGATGTCTGTCTGCAAGGAAAGCAAACTCCCGGTCTGGGAGGAGCCGAGTGGCCAGCGCTCCCCGAACTTCTCCAGGCCTGAGGTCCGGCTCCGCGCGCTCCCTCGGGGCCTCATTACTGCCCCCCACATCCCACCTCAGGCACCCTGCTGGAGAGCTCGTCAGCCGGCCGGGCCCGCCCAGCTGCGCCTGGAAACTGGTGCCTGCCCGTGTGCTTGATTTTGAGCTGAAAACTGAGGCCAACCTCTGCTGGCGAATTTTGACTGAAAGGACACATAGATTGCGTGCCATGCCGTGATTGACTGACTTGTCCCCTTCCTCTGAGCTAGCGAAATTTTCTCGGGGCGCACCCAGTCGTCAGTGATTTGGGCTGTTCAAGGTTGGGAGTTCTATACCGTTGCCAAACCTCGACCAAAAATATTTTATGTTTAGTGCCCACCTTAAAGCAAGGGGTAATAAAACAGCGTTCCCTGATTTTAACAAGAAACTGGGGGTGGGGCGCGGGTTCTAGATAACAGCAACACTAAAGACGTGGCATATCCAGGCAGTGAGTGGGCTTGAGGAATTGTCCTAAAGTGTAATTTCCTCTCTGGGCACTTTAAAATCAGCGCAGAGTTTATTATCTTTGTGTCATAACTCATTAGTGCACGTGGGAGTAAGTGAGCTTCTACAGATGAAGCTAATGGGAACACTTCAAGGGAGAATAAAAAGGAAAATTTTCAGAACTGAGAGTCATATGGAATTTAAAATATTAATGCACCCAGGCTCACAGAGCTTAACTTTACTTGGAAACATTCTCTCACTGATGTGCCCTGACTGAACAGACTTACAGGGGTTAGAGTTCTGCAGCGTTTAACAACGGGATCTTAGCTTCCTCTCTTAGGTTCTGTGTTATGAATTCCAGGCCCGTTGAGCTAAGCGGGGGAGGGGGGGGGTGCGGAAAAGCACATCGAAACGTGGATCAGGGCCCGTGGGCGGGTGTCTCCTAACTGGGAAACTCAGGGAGATGGGGGTGGGTTTGCTCCCTGCCCTCGCATCTCTCTTTCCTTCCTCTCCCTTTTTCCATAGCAGAGAAAATTTCTCAGCATTGTTGCTGTCGGTTTCTATGGAGGACCAGCAGCACGTTTTTTTCACTGCTATGACGTCACGCTCAGTGTTTGCTGGGGCCCTGGACCACGTGGCCTCTCTAAGAACAACCTGCAGATAACATGAGCCAATGGGGGGAATCCCAGGGAAACCCCCTTCTTCCCCCGGGAAGCTGCAAACTTCTGTGGATGAGATGCCTGCACAACAACCCAGTTCAACAGTTCAGTGACAACTACCCTGGTCATTTTCCTTTTTTCCTGTTTTCTGTGCAACCTGATACTAGTATCAATAAAATTGTAACTGCTTATATAATAGATGACTCATTGTCCCATCTCACATCATAAAGTTGTGTCTCTCTTGTCCAGTGTTTCACTTCCCCTCATTCCTTCCCCGCTCCCAGGATTGCTCACATGTTTATTACTAAAAATAAAGGGTTTTAAAAGAAGTTTTTTTTAAAAAATAAGAATTGATGTTCTTCTTTTCCATAAGCAAGACTCAAGTTTGGACTCAAATGGCATAGGAAGACATTTTTTCATTCGTCCCATCTGTGTCTAGGCAATGAGACTGGAGGTGACCAAGGTCACAATGGTTCCATTTGCTCTGATATTCATGAGTGTTTTCTGTTTGTTTGTTTGTTTAGAGATGGGCAGTTACTATAAGCTTGGCTGAAGTCACCTTTCATCATTTGAAGGCGAGATGAGATGCAGCAGGCCATTTTTATAAAGATGACTAACGGTTTTCTTCTCTTTCTCTTCCAGCCATACCCGCTCTCCTTGACAGAGCATCCCAGAGTCTTCAAAGAGTTCATCCAGGCCTCGGGACAAGTAAGAATTTCCGTGCTTTCCCCACCTTCAGCGACACTGCCTATGCTTTACTGTAATTCAAGCTACTGTCGTTTCTCTATTTTATTTAGGATATAGTAACTGAGCGAATGGCTGGTTGAAAGGGAAAGATTCTTTTTCAGGATGTCTTTTTTCCGCTTCTCTGCAAGGCCGCTTCTTTATTTCTCCCTTGGCTTGTCCTTGGAGGTTAAGACAGGCCAAATTAATGAGAAGGGGAGAAAAAAAGATGTGATAATTTATGGTGAACCAGCAGTTAGTCTATGAAATTTAGAAACCTGCCTCTTTCTGCAAACCCTGATGATAACAAAACCCTGAATTGTATCATCATTGTTATTTTGAACTATCTCTTGCCTGGACAGCATGTCGACAATTATACCTTATGCTCCAGAATTCTGCCTTCGAGCAAGCTGCTGCTTCTCCTTAAAATGCCTTTCCTCATCCCCTTCTTGTCCTCTGACATGTCTCCCTTCTCCCCAGCTGAACTTAAACATCAGCTCAGTTGGGCAGCTTCCATGGAACTTTCTCCATTGTTCATGACAGCGTTTACCTCATGACATTTTACAGTGTATGTTAATACCAGGCACAGAACTCAATGTGTTGTATGCGATCCTATGAATCAAGTATGTTGGGCTTTAAGGCAAAGCCCATGTTTTGTGCTTCTTCTAAATGCCTCACATAAACTTAAAAAAAAAATCCCGATCACATAGTAGGTCCCTTTAGTTAAACTCTAAGGTAGGTTTAGGGTATCAGTTGAAAGCCATGCTAGAGTCCACATTTTATGATAAAGGAAGGGAAGATGGTGTACCCAGTTGAGTTGAAGCACTGCTGTTTCGTCGGTAATTCTGGTGTTGGGAAACCATAGTTAGGATTTTATGACTAAATTGCAGAGTATGTTTCTAATAGGAAACGTAAACATCATTTCCTTGGATGTGGCCCCACGGGGTGATTGGTGCTGTTTGTCACAAACGTCTTCCGCTTGCTGGTTGTGCCAGACCACAGACTCTGTGTGACCCTCCTGTCTTAGGGCACCTGGCCAGTTGATCTGCTCCTAATCAATGTGCGGGGTTGGGAAGGGGGCTATTGGTTATGTTCGGGTTATGCCGGCTGGTATACTTCACCTTCTCCACTCAGCAGACGGTGTGCCTTACCGCTGCTCTCTGTAAGGAGGTGAGAAGGAACCCGCGGGGGGCGTTTCACAGATGGAGCAGGCTCCCGCCCACATGGAGCCCTCCCCACGCACAGGCCTGATACCCTGCCCTTCAGGTCCCCCCAGAGAGGTAGTGGGACCTCCCCAAGCCATTGTCTTTGTCAAGTCGGGACTCTGAGGAGTGCCAGCATCGAGCCTGGTTGAACTACAACCTGTGGGTATGGCAGACGTAGTGAAGAAATTCCTGCCTGTCATTCAGCAGATGTAGATTTTTGATCTATGTAACAAGCAAAACCACTAGCTAATTATCCTTCACGTGTGGTAATTCCCCCAGACTCTGACCTCCATGCACAAGGAGGAATGTATCCTTCTTATCATGAGTCACTTGCCCTATGTCCCAGGACTGATTGGATAAAGTACCCCATCCATAGACGTGTCCGCATCCGTGGGCACCTTCCCCAGGGCTCATGCATGGGCACACGGCTGCCTTGCTCATTCGAGTACCTCACAGAGATGTGACAGAACCTCACGCTCCCAGTGCCTCGCTGTGTGGCTGTGTACACTTGTCACTGTATCACAGAGCCAACTCTTAAAAAAATATTTTCTGGAAAGAATGTGCTATTTTTAAATATCCCATGAGGACTTTTCAGCCCATACACGTGAGTAGCTGTATGTTCACCTGTGCAATGGCATGGAAACGGGCAAACCCACAGTCAGGGTAAGACATATCTTGAGAGAGTGTCCACTGAAAGAGATGTACAGGCATCTTTGTCATGCTTTGAAGAAGTAATGGTACAGACTTACCACACAGAAAACTGCTTCTTTGCTGCTGGGGAGAGTAATGAGGATGGCTAGAATCTTCTAGAGAAAAGCAAAGCATTTTTAGTACTGCTGAAGAGGCAAACACCTCAGGTTCCACGTTCCTTGTGTTTTCCAATCATTTTATTTCTCATTATGTAAAGTCATTCCTTTTCACGGAATTTATCGCATATCACTATGAAAGTGTGAATTTTGTGATCAATGGCATTTTCACCTCAACTGAAGAAAAAAAGTGAAGTTTCATTGACTTCCATTTGGAGCACAAACTAGCCCAAGATTTTATGAAAACAAATGTTATGAACATAAGCATAAATAATTGAGGTCAGAGTTAGGTTTCAAAAGGATTCCAAAAGATACCATATTAGATAGGCCCAGCAGAGTTTTATAAGTGCACAAACAACTGTCTTCACAGTTGTGAGCTACTTTTCAATTAAAAAAAAACACTGCTGTGAAACAACAATTTAATACCATAACCATCCCTGTGCTCTCTCGGGTTCCTATTACACTCTCTTAGCTGGACCCTTGTCCTGGCCTCCTTAGTTGTCTTCCCTACCTCCCACTTTTCTCTGTTCCAAGCCATTCTGCTCTCTGTTTCCCATTCGTTCCTCCTCTGGTCTCGTGATACTTCTGCCCGATCACCTGTTGCTCGCCTGTGTTTTCTAAATCATGAAAACCTCTGGCTGGCGTTCAGGGAAGCCCACCGCATGGACCCCCTGTGCTTTTCTAGCCTCACGTCCCTCATGTGCCCTGTACCGCCATGTTTATGCCCCTGGCCTTCCTGCTTCTTTATAGCCATTCGTAACAGCTCCTTCGCCAGAAATTCCCTCTTCTTCTTGACTCCCAGTCGGGAAAAGTCCTTCTTGGATTTTGTCTTTGAGGCATCTTTCAAATATCACTTTATCCATAAAGCTTTTCCCACTTCCCCCCAAAGACTGCATACTTTCATCCTGGAATCTCCGTAACCCTTTCTTCTCCTTCCCAAGGGGAGAGAGTACATACACAGCTCTTGAAGGTCTCAGGCTCTGGAGCAAGACAGCTTGGTTTACGCCGCAGACCCACCATGTACTCCTGCTTGATCTTATCTGAATTTCATAGCCTCTCTGTGCCTTGGTTCTGCTCCATTTTGCTTCCTTATCTCTAAGAAAGTGATGCTAATAGTACCTAACTCATAAACTTATGGCGAGAATTACAAGTGTTAATATGTTTGAAGTAATGAGAATGGTGTCCGGTCCTTGGTATTTATTGTCTTCTCTTATGGCTCTTATTTTAGTCCAACAAGTATGAGAAATGAATGGGAAATTTCCCATCCTTGACTCTATTTTGGGTCTTAATATCATATGTCATTTGTTTCAACCTAATGGAAACTTTTACGTGCTTTGTATTCCTTCTTACTAGACTGTGCTGTCGCTGAGGGTAGCGGCTGTCCCTTCCACATCCTTGTAGCCCACAGTACCTGGCCCAGGCCAAGTGCTTAGTGAATAGTCGTTGAATTTAACACACACAGAAAAAAATGCAAAAAAAAAAAAAATAGAAGCCCAGTTCCCCCTCTTATGTGAACTACTCTTTGGCTACCACTGAGTGTCTCCGTGCCCTCAGCTGTCCTTTGTGAAATGAGAGGGGTGAAGATAAACAGGAGGAGCAACTTCTCTTGTCTGTTACTATAAATACGGTCTTGCCCAAAGGCGGTCCACAGAACCTTCACTTCAGGTCATGGCGCTGGCCTCATGGTCTAGTCGTGGGACATGTCACAGGACATCTCTGTGTCTTCACTGTGGTACCCTGTCGGTGCTTCAGCTGCCCACTCCTGCCTGGGACCATCACGGCCCCCACAAGAGCCAAAGGACCCGCTCAGCTGTCAGCATTCTTTTTTCATCAGATATTTTCAACCCCGAGGATCTCGTTAGCTGACAATACAGCTCAAATAAGCACAACGCAAGAGAAGCATGTTTGTGCAGGGATGACACCGCGGAAGGAATGCGCAGCATTTATTTGTTGCAGAGAACTTGAGCTTTGACATGCATCAGAGAGCCATGCCGACTCTGGGCTCTGACACTAAAGTGACATTGAATTCTTGACAGTCCACTGTTTATAAACAATTCGGCCAATGATTCGGTAAGTGAGCGCAGATGATTAGCGTCCCTTTTAAGGGAACAGTGTTTATGTTGGCTCTCTCTTGCACCCACACAAGTGGCGGCCCTTTCTGACTCACACACAGCTAATCTCTACATAATGCCAAGCATCTTGCGGTCCTATGCGTCCCTCTTCCACACATTTCTGAGGTAGGAGGAAGGCCGGTAGAATTACGCACTTTATGCAGGAAGAAACAGAGATACAGAGAAAACAGCTTTCCTGAGTGTCTCAGCTGACCAGCAAGAGACTTGAGTAGATACCTGTCAATGCAGAGCTTGCATATTATTGATACATCAAGCAACAATATTCAGTTATCTTAAAATACGGACTTGGCAGTGACGTTTTTCCACCCCAAAACCCCCAGAGAATGCCTGCCACGTTTCCCAGTGTTAGCACTTACTGCCCCGCCTCCCGGGTGACAGCTGGGAGACAAGGATTATTTGTAAGATAAATATTAGGTCTTCGCTCCTCCTTCAGCTCCCAGCAATTTGCTGAGCCCTGATCAGAGGTAAGCAGACGTTGGCGACTTCCTTTACGAGGGGCCTGCTCTTCTCTGGGTGGGTTCAGGCCACTGTGAGTGGGGCCCTTGCAACAGGCAGCGAGCACACTGTTCAGGGTCTGCCTCCTCAGCTACCTGCATGCAGGTCCTTTCCGGTTGCAAACGTATGTCAAGGTCTTCTATTTCTCCCGGAACCCAAACAGTGAGAAACTAGTCAGAAATTGGTGGGCATAGGCCTCTAAAAGCCTTGATCTTAAAGGTCATTAAATTGTTTTTTAAGTCTGAGAAGGATGATCAAACATCTCCCTACAAATTCCAGGAGGCCTTTGTGTTCTCTGTATGCCGATTCCTGGTATGGTTTCTCTTCCAAAGCGTGACACACAGTTG